CAGATTCTATGTAAGTAGCTGTCAACTAATATACAATAATAGTAATATGTTTTTACCGTTTTACTTTTAACTTTGATGTCAGCGGACAGCGCAACTAGAGGCATTCTTAACCAATACAATGTTTTAATTTACCAGGCAAATGAGGAGTTAGTTTCGGTGAGTAGCTTTAAGAGGGCGAATGATCGACAATGTAAATTTGTATGGAATGAAATATGGAAAGGGTTGCTGTCCCCAGGTACTATTTAAACTATTTATCTTTTAAGTAAGTGCACTAACTTTTAAACTATGCCCAGCAAATTTGAAACGGATACGTACAGTCCTATTCTTTATCCTGACGCCTCTCATACCTTGTATACATAAACGAATCATCGCACCACAGGTTGGATCAACAACCCTGGTCACTGAACGAAATTAAACGGCAGTACAACGGCATGACTGATTCAGCTCAGAGCGACGTCTTGTGTGTATTATTGCAGACAGTGACCATAGACTAATTCCAAAGATTCATATCTAGCCTAGCGGTTAGAGCATCCGCCTTCTGCGCAGAAGGTTCAGGGTTCGAATCCCAGTGTCACCTAGTCTAGGGAGTAGCTAAGGATCCATTGGATCTATGCAATCTCAACGGTCGACTCAACCGAATGATAGAAAACTTAATTGAGGGTTAAATGAGGAGGGGTACCTGTTAAAAGTTCAAGAAACTTCCTAGGATACCCCTTCAGTGCATACTGTAAACATAACTATTATATCGGCCAATGAAGAGGAGTCCGTTGTAACTGAGGCAGGACCATCTTTAGCCACGAACACAGTTTAAACAAATGTCCATTCTGTAACGTAGAGATCGCACCAAATGATAAATCCTCAAACCGGATTACAGATGCAGGGTACCTTAGTTCCCAAAAATTTGTGTGCCATTATATTGAGCACAATTTATTTGAGCCCGAAAAATTTGGGCAGAAAATTTGAACTCATTTGGGCGACCGAAAATTTGGGCACAAATTCTTCGAAAAATGAACGATTTTCTACTAAAATTTCAGTTAGATATTTGCCTTAGTTCATTATTATTCCTTATTATTCCAGTCATTTTGCTTTCAATTTTAAGCATGTAGGTGGTAGTCTGAGTTGTTTCACATTATGAAAACATAGTGTGTCAGCTCAATGGAGGAGTTTCATCAGACAATGTGAAAATTGATACCCGCTTGACAGTGATCCGTGAACTACACGCTCGTTGGATCAACGAACTTTTTGTATATTTAAAAGGGAGGCCAGATGACATAAGGAAAGGCTTTGAGAAGTCGGGTATAACTGATGCTTGTAGATCAGACTTTACGGTGGATGATAATCCATTTGCAGATCTTGTTTAAATCTCTAGCTATCCGTACCTCTAGCCGTTTGTTTTATTAGTAGCTGTTAGCTATTCCAGTTATTTCTATGCATTTAAAATATAAGCCTTTTTACTTGGTCAAGCCATGAATGACAGATTAAAAAACTAAAATTTCAAATATTATTTCACTTGGATATGAAGAAAAAGCCATCTTTCTATAGATTTCAGGGCCACATGCCAAATGCCAAAAGTTTGGTTAGCAAAAAATTTAGCAGACGGAAAAGATTTATGCAATTAATTTGGTCTGCAAAAAATTTGGTCGAGAGGCCCGCTCAAATTTTTTGTCGCCCAAATTTTTGGGAATTAAGGTAAGTTATTGTGCGGGGGCGGGGGGAGGTAGTATAGTACACATAAGTTAGGCTCTTACTAATTCGCTCGCCCAAAAATTTCACGTGACTTTCTCCGTAGCTTAGTGCACTAGATTCCCACTATCGGAATCGTTCTGAATAGCCGATCCTTACCAACTCCGTGGATCCGACTGGTGGTGTCTGATCCAGTGAAAGCGTGGCACAGAAATCGTACAGAAAGCCCAATTATGGTATCCTAGCACCCTGTCACGTGATAAGCGATTAGGTAATCATTGATAACCCAATCAATTTCGCTAACGAGATAAACAAATTGCTTGATAACTTCGTCATTTTCAATCCGTTTCGCACATCGTTTTGCAGATGTTTTGATTTGAGTGCTCTAATCAAGTTGATGTTTCTGTAATTGGTGATGATACTGATTGGTACTGTAATTGGTGGATAACTGATTTGCTTGTAACTTTGCATTTGACCACCAACTGTTTCTCACCACCAAAAGCTACATCTATGACATTGATAAAATTCGAAGTGCGATTGGTAGGAGGCACGTGAACACGATACTGCTGTGCCACGCTTCACTGGATCAGACACCACCAGTCGGATCCACGGAGTTGGTTCATGCAGAAAAGCAGGAATACAATGTGGATCAACCTGCCTGAAATGTCAGGACAATTGCACCAATGTGCCAGCTGAGGACTCATAAGTTAGACTATTATCTAGTATATATGGTTATATAAAGTACTACTTCGATTTCCCAATTAATATAATGAAAATTTGTTAATTATTCGTGATATATAAACAAAAGCTCTAAGAAACAGATAGTAAACAAAGTAAACATTTCTGTCCCCTAATCTTTCTCAAACAAAATTCATGCAATTTGCATACTTCTCCATTTAACTCTATTCTGAGCAATTAACGTTAAATAGTCCAAATCACATAAATCATTTAACGATAATTTTCGGACACTAAGGTCGTGTAGAATCAGTGAGAAAAGGTTTGACTGCGGTCTTCCACGCCGCCCTTGAAGCTGTAAGGTGTTGACAGCAAAAACAAGCGACGAATAGGCTGGGCCATCTGTAGGCCCACGCAGTACATGTCCGAGCATCCTCCACCGACTACGAGCCACTTTAGCTGACAATGGTTCGCTATTGCAGCGTTTATACAAGTTCTTGTTGGAGATGATGTGAGGGTATTTGTAATTCAAAATTGATCGCAGATGACGTCTGTGAGCAATATCTAGTTTTTCCAATACTGATTTAGGGGCAGCCCAGCAAGATGAATTGTACATTAAAACGGATACTACCAGAGCCTCATACAACAGAAGCCTCTTGCTCAGAGGGATCTTATGGTTCCAAGCTTTCTTGTATTTGTTAAACGCGGCATATCCCAGACATATCCTTCTAGAGATGTCCTCCTTACTACAAAGCATGGAGCCAAGCGTGATACTCTTTCTCCAGAGCTCGTTCCCTGCAATTGGCTTACCCTGATCGTCTTTAGCTCCCTTTTCAGCTAAGTACACATGAGTGAAATCAGTTTTGTCTTCGTTTACGAAGAGATTCCAATCTTTAAGGACTTCTGTTGCAATAGGCAACAGCTCCCTCAAATTGTCTTCATCTTCATCATTGAAGTCGATATCATCAGCATACTCACTGTCAAGTGGAAGACCAATATCGGTGATAGGTGGGTTAGGCCTATTCGTTGCAGTTTCAAGCCTGTTACGGAGGTCACGCAAGGCACCCGCTAAGACAAGTGTGAACAAGCATCCAGACAGACAGTCACCTTGGAATGCACCGAGAAAACTCTGGAATTCAGCAGACAGTGTACCGTTGATGTTATCAGTTGTCCAGAGGAGAAGAGGTGGGAATGTGATATGTAATTTTAAAATATTTTGATCAAAAGTAATTTTTATATTTTTTAAATATTTGTTTAATAATCGAATAAGCTAATTAATTAATTATCTAATCCAAAGTTTGTTAGATAAAAAGTTGTCCTCTTTCATATTTTGAACACATTGGTTCAATCTAGAACCTTCTACGCCATTCAGAAGTCTTTTCATTAGCGGAGATTCGATGTGGTAAAAAGTGGTAAATAGTGGTTTTTCTTTACAAATTTCGAAAATTTTACAAGTCCAAAATATTGTATGTGAAAATTTTCAAAATTTTCATAAAAATTAGTTCAATATACGTGGAATGTAATTGTGAACATTTTTTATGAAAATGTATTTTTGAAATATTTGAAAATTTATTAATTATTTAATTAATTAATTAAATAATTTGTTTTTGAAAAAGTTGTTAAAGAAAAGGTTGTTCTTTTTTGTTTTCTAAACACAATGCTTTAAACTAGAATCTTCTAGGATATTCAGAACGTGACTTATTTGCGGAAAACCAAAGTGGTAAAAAGGTGGAAAAAAGTGGTAACTGTGGATTTTCCTGAAGTCGAGGATTTTGGGAACTCTCTGGAATGATTCCTGGGACCTGTCCCGACCATATCCCGTTAAAATCGCTTTGTTGCGAATTTTGTCCGACAAAAAGACGGATTTGACTGTACTATATGAAGTCTTTTATGTTTTAACTCCAGAATAACTCCACATCAGCATTAATGGGGAAAATTGAGTTGTAGGTTCATAGCATACCAGATTTGTCCATTTGCCATTGTTGATGTTATTTTGTTAATGTTATTTTGTTAAATGGACGGCGCGCGCTACTTCGAAGAAATTTAGACGGGTATCATCCGTCAAACCAATGACCAAGACGCGCGCCGAGTTGGCCTCATCGACGGGATGATAATTAATCACTATACACTCGACTGTCACGTGACTTTTTCAACCCGTTCTCTAGCTGGCCCTGAAGTCTGAACGACTATTCGAAACTGTACCCTAACCCTCAATGTCTTATCTGATCCCAACCCTAACTGCTAACCCAATCATTAACAAAAGCATATGTGATATGATGAAACCCTAACCCTAACGAGAAATTGGACTAACTTCCTTATAAGCTTATATAACGGTCATATCGCCAATATCTCGCTAGGGGAGCATTTTAACCCTATGTCATGGGGGTGATTCGGAATCAGCGTCCGAAAATACATCGATTCTAGTTGGTTTCAACTGCTGGGGGCCCTTTTAGAACAATCTCGAAGATCGACTGTAGAGTGATTAAGCACGCTCGTCGTCGACGGTCTTGGAACAAATATTTTAAGAGTTATCACCGGTTAAAAATTAAGCTGACGACCACTTTATGCATCCTTGTAGTTGTACTCACATATTTGCTTTTAATCCTATTCCTACATGTAGACCAAGATTCAAACTCCCCATGTCAGTGATTAATTCTCATATTCCAATATCAAATTTTAAAAGCAAAGAAAAATCTTACCACATAATTCTATAATCAGTTCAACTGATTACGATTATCAAAGCAAATAGCAAAAATATCGTGTCTGATATTTCGCTTACATTTACACAATCCACAGAAAAACTCTTTACCGCCTAACTGTATACAGGATCCAGCTACATACATAAAACCTAAATCAAAACAATTGCAATATTTTTCGACCGCCACGAGCAGCTTAAAATTAAATTTAATAACTTATCAAGATTCAATTGTTATCATAAAACGTTCTCCCAATTTTATCAGTTTAACCTTTATTTTTCCTATCCTACTGTACTTCGTTCGGATCTATGAAAATGCGTGTATCTAGTCTTGTGTATTTCAATGTCAGATTTCCCAGTAAAAAACAAAATATCTTTGGAAACGGCATCACCAGCACATAACTCCGAAGTCCGAGCCGTAAATAATGATAAATCTAGGAAGTTCTAGAAAAAACACAAATATATCTTCTCTAAAATAATAGATCGTCAAATCTCTGCGACAATAACATTTATATCTTCACATCAAGCTTCAACATCTGAAATGTAGCGAGTTGCAGCGCCTTCCATCAAAAATAAAAACGATCGCTAATCATAAAGCTCAATAAAATTTGAGCTGTTTTTAATAATTTACCAACATATATACACAAAGGTTATGTAAATACTTTTAATTAAAAAGTAAATACAATCATATCAGCAGGAAGAATTCGTGACTTGCCTTGTGTTAATTAATCTGTTTAAATTTAGAGTGCATTTCATAAGTCACAAATCCTTCATGTTAGAAATTCCATACAATTATTATAAATAAAAACGGTAACACATTAAGTTCAACTACAAAATATTCATCCAAAAATAGTATCCATCTTCCTCCATCTCGGAAATATCGTTTGTCAATGTGTTCACCGACATGTCTTTTATCAATATTTTATAGTGATAAAAGTAATATTTATAATATTTAATAAAAATATACAAATGGTTACTGTAGTTTAAGTATAATAATAACAGTATCTCTAAAATGAGAGAATGACCATTACGTGGAGTCAGCTGAAACAGAATCTCTTCTTCGATATAAATGAATCCCATAAAATTTTAATCATTTAACCATTTAAAATCAATCGCCTGGCTTGCAAAATATTAAATTAGATATAATATCAATCATGTATAAAATCTCGCAAATGAACAGACTGCAGCTACATCACCATAAAAATATTCAACGGAGAAACATACGGGAAATACGTTATTTACAAACCGATATTTTCTATAACATATGGCGGAGATAAGGAACTAATGTGATAGTCAGTGATAGCAAATAGAGAAGATAAGAATGTGAGGAATGTGACGCAGAGCCTGCATCAGGGTCTTTGTTTTCTTGAGAGTCACCGTCATCAATAACTTCCTCATCCTTAACCTGGAGGAGGAGGAGGTCAATACGTTTAGTACATCTGGTGATTTAGAAAATTTATATTTCAACTTGTTGTACACACTTTACCTTGCTATCATGACAACTTTTAACTCGTAATTTATTGGTGGTTTAATTACTGAGGGAGAAATCAATTATTATAATAACAGAACTACAAAAGTGTTGGAAGTTACTTAGTAAGTACTACTTACCCTTAGTTTAAAAGTAAGTGTTTCCTGCCCCTTAGTGTTGGAAGCAGTGCACGTGTACAGTCCACTGTTCTCTTTTCTGGATGCCCGCACTATCAGCACATACTCCTGTAATAATATTACGTTAATTTGAACCACTAGGGGGGGGGGGGGGGGGGGGGGGGGGGGGTACGTCTTATTTAGCAGCATATATCATTTTGAACATTGTGTCTCAATTGTGATACAATATAGTTTGGAGACAAAAGTAACGTGTAGGACGTAGGTGTAATACTTTGAAAATAGTGCGACTCCGCACTTGCAGAACAAAGCTGGTGATGAGATTATTTGAGGCAGTGGGCCCACAGCAGTGACCCACATCAGAGACCACAGCGGGGCCCACAGCCCACTCTATTGTTTAATTTTACTACACAGGGGCGCCAAAAAACAATTACCATAGTTGTGGTCATGTCGCTCTACACACTACACAGCGCGGCGGTACCAATGGCAATACACAAATATAATAGAACGAATACCGGCTGATGATGCGAAAAAATGCGGCAAGAGGTCAATATTGCAATTCCGTACCCACCGCACGTATATGTTGCCTCTGTTCGGAGATTGACGTACCGTTTCAAATTTAGAGATAGTCTGAACGCTTCTGCCGTAGTTCTGAGGAAGATCATTTGATATTTCTGTGGCAAGTTCTGCTCCGTCAAGTCCCCACTGTACGATTGAAGCCGGATACGAATTAACCTGGTGATATATTCAATAAGACGTCAATCTTCAGGACTTTTACTCGTAAACTTCACAAGTTTAACAAAAGATTATACAGTTGAATTAATGATCAATAACCTTTTATTTATTGTATATTTTATTTATTATTTTGATTTATACCTGGCAGATAAGAGAGATATCGACTCCAACACCCGCGTCAATTAGATAGAGATTCTCATCCTGGTCGTACACCAGTCGTCTTGGTTTTATTATGAACGGCTTAGACTCTGAAAAAAAACAGAATTAGAAAGCTGGAAGTTAACTTAACTGGTCTTATTATAGGGTGTCTGCGCCACGGTGAGCAGTCGTAATCGGAGATTTAATATAAGATAATAATATTAGATAATCATTTACAAAGCAAAGATCATCGAAATTCGATATCCTTTGGGAATTCATCGAAAAGTAACAAAAGAGTCGGGAGAAACGTCAAGTCATCAATCAAAAAATGTTTATTTTGGTTCGTACTTTATTTTACCAATATTAACACGTACCCCTAGGTTGAGAAGTTGTGAGAGTAGCAATCTCGCTATACGAGCCACTTCCTGCGTTATTAGAAGCAGCTATCTTGATATTATAGTCGGTCAGTGCATCAAGATCTTCAAGAGTGTACTGCTGTTCTGATCCAGTCTTAACCTCACGGTACGCAGAGCCCGCAGCTTCTTTGTACGAGATCTGAGTTGGAGGAGTGAGGTTATGAGGAAAAGGAATGTGGAGAAAACATTTCAATTTTTGTGGTGAGCGACAAATTATTAACCCCTCGGCCTCCCCATTTTTTCTAGTTTTTATTTTTCCAACATAAGTTTCTAACAAGTTTCTTCCTTTGCTACCTAGTTACTTCCTAGTTACTACCTAGTTACTATCTAGTTACTACCTAGTTACTACCTAGTTACTATCTAGTTACTACCTAGTTACTACCTAGTTACTACCTAGTTACTATCTAGTTACTACCTAGTTACTATCTAGTTACTACCTAGTTACTACCTAGTTACTCCCTAGTTACTACCTAGTTACTACCTAGTTACTACCTAGTTACTATCTAGTTACTACCTAGTTACTATCTAGTTACTACCTAGTTACTACCTATTTACTACCTATTTACTACCTATTTACTACCTAGTTACTACCTAGTTACTATCTAGTTACTACCTAGTTACTATCTAGTTACTACCTAGTTACTACCTAGTTACTACCTAGTTACTACCTAGTTACTATCTAGTAACTACCTAGTTACTACCTAGTTACTACCTAGTTACTACCTAGTTACTATCTAGTTACTCCCTAGTTACTATCTAGTTACTCCCTAGTTACTATCTAGTTACTACCTAGTTACTACCTATTTACTACCTAGTTACTACCTAGTTACTATCTAGTTACTACCTAGTTACTACCAATCTACAAACTTTAAGTTACCTGATACCCGAGGACCACGCCCATATTATCACTGTTACTCCAGCTTATAGACAGGGAATCCATAGTGGCTCCTTCCTGTATTATATCTTGCGGTACACCCGGTGGTCCTGGGAGAATTGGTAAAGTTGTTATCTGCTACTGAGAGTTTGCGCATGAATGACGGTTTTTAGGGCGGCAACTCCCACCCACCAGAGATCTGCCTTTGTGGATGGTCGAATAGGAAGATTAACCAAATAAGGGGTTAACTTTTATCATTTTAAAAGTAAATTGAAGAAATAATAAAAATGAAATTGTAACCCTTTTGCCCATGCTGTTAAATAATCGTATTAATTTCAAATGACAAAAAGCAGCCGAAAAAGAAATACTGTTCAGATATTAACTATTAAAGGAATCTTGCTATCTCTTCACTTACTCATGACGGACATCTGAACCTCGTTACTAGTAAACTGTATGTTAGGCCCCACGATACACCCGCACCGGTACTCAGCCGAGTCCAGATCGTCCAGGTCAGCTATAACAAGTTGGTTAGTGGGGTATCCCGTCTCACTGCCTTCCCCCGTGTAACTGAGGAGGTTAATTAAGATGAAGTTAACGTTTTAATGTTGGTATTTTATAATTTCATAGTTTTCCAATTTTATAATTCAATTTTGATTGTAAATAAAATGTTTTAACACATACTTGAAAGGAAGAAAATAAAAACGTACTGTATTTTAGAGCCAGCAGGTGTAGCGTTATCAATGTTACTACCTAGTTACTACCTAGTTACTACTTAGTTACTACCTAGTTACTACCTAGTTACTACAAATAAAAACGTACTGAATTTTAGAGCCAGCAGGTGTAGCGTTATCAATGAACCAGTTCCACTCTCTGCCCGTACTCAGAGCATCTAGCGAGTCACAGTTACAGCTGAAGAGAGGTTGTTTAAATAACATGCACAAAGGTTCCTTAGTTATCATTATATACAGTAGATCCTATAGAGTGGGATTGTCGTCCATCCAAAACTATGAAAATAGTGCAATGCAAAGATTTGAATTGGGAGCGCCCCTTTTAAATAATTCTCACGAATTGGGTAAATTGGTCACAACAAATATAGAGTCTGATGATGGGTGTCATAGTTACCTGAGTGTTATGGTAGTGCCCATTCTCGCCACTCCCTGCACCAGCTCTGGTGTGAACGTAATGTCGGGTTTACCTAAGGGGTTACTAGTATAGAGGTTGGGCCACATGTGATAAGGGACTTGTCAGCGGAAGGTGGGCACAGCTCTTCATTATTTATTGAACACGACTCTTACGATCCTTTTACGGTTATTCGATGTTTCTTTAAAGTTTCAAAGCTTTATAAATGACTTTTAACAAACACGTCTCAACATTCGACGAGTAAAGAGTTAAAATCGAAATAGTTATTAGGAAATTCGTTTAAAAGATAACATAACAATTAAAACTCACTAGTGCAGAGTGTTTTGAAGTGAGCAGGAGGGATGTTCTGCCCGGGTTCACAAGTCCAGTTGCCCACAATGTTGGTATAGCCACCTGTGTACACTGGATGGTTAGACAATTGTTAGCGCCACGCCCCGTCTCACTTCACCTTCTCGCAGGCATGAAGGAGCGCGCATCGCGCGCCCTTCAAAAGCGCCTTTACTTACGCCGAGCTTTTTGTTTTATCAAAACTTGTTTAAATTAGTTACCAACCAAATTTAATGGAACGATCGATGGCAAGTGACGAATAAAACCTTTATACAAAATAGATTGCTGTATTTACTTTCAAATTACCGTAAAAAGCCCGGAAAAGTAGAACAATGTTGATTCAAAGATTTGAACTATGTAGTATGCATCTGGTCAATCTCCACCAGATGCAAAAGATAGCAAAAGTGCAGCTGCAATAAATCAACAGGCTTAATTTTTTGTTGAAAAAACAGTATTGATCGTTTTATTGGAACATGCTCTGAAGCAATTGTATTTTTATTGAAAAGTTAGCTCAAAAATCACACTCGTGCTTTATGGTTGCCAGGGCAATGTAATGTTACCATGGCAACCAATCCAGTGTTAATCACTCCTCAAGAATGCTGTGATTCTCACTACACGTCACACCAACCTCACACTCGCCATCACGGAGGAGCTATCAACTATTTTACTGACACAAATCACTGTGCAGATACAAGATGTTGTAAAAAGTGCTAAAGTTGCAATCACAGAGAGGAGTAATCAACAGAGATTAATTCGCAAGTTACTTACTGGCATCTATTCTGAGGTAAAGTGTGTGGGTTTGGCCTTCTGAGATTCTCTCTATCTTATATAGAGATTCGGGTAACACCGTGTTTAAGGGTTGACCCTCCTGCGGAAGTTTCTGTTATTCAACAATATTCCAAAAAAAGAGCTAGTGAATTCTAGATTCACATTTTAGAAAATACTGTTACTATACGACTGAGTGATAAAAACAAGTTTATAAAAAATATAAATGGTTATTAGCAATATGTACCTTTTTGAAAGTAATATCAGGGGCAATATCTGTCCCTTGCACCGTACATGATATCGTAGCTTCTTTATCCTCTATAAACAGGAAATATTGTAGCGCCTGATACTCGATTGAGTAGACATTTTCTCCGTGAATCTCAACTGACACTGACTCCACAACTGTCACTGAAACATTAGAATTAAAATGTTTGTACAATTTGGTATAATTCCCGATTTGAAAGCGCTAGATTTTGAACACACAATTACCATGCACTGTTTCGGTGCATGTAGTATGTACATTGTACGTGTCACGTGACAGCATGCAGCTCCGGCATGGATATAATATTCAATGATCGATACAATAGAAATTTAAATATATATATGCGCGCGTACCGCGCGCATTATGATTGGCGCACCACCTATCACGTATTTATCCCCGCGCTTTACGTAAAGTTGAAGTTCAAAAGAGCATATCAGCAGGTGGCGGAAGAACTGGGGGTGCCAGAGTTTCCACCGCTATTCACATGATAACTGCTGACATAAGAGACTAGGTAGACGTAATGGCGGTGTTTGGTGAGAGTTATTGAGATGGGACTGGTACTAACTTTGTCAAATAGTATAAATCAGGATGTGATTGAATCTTTTCTAAGACAACCATGTGAGTCGAGAATGGTCGATATTGGTATCAGATTTTTTCCCCACAACTGGTCATAAATAATCCCCTTTTTAATTTGCTGTTTAAAACCGTGAACTTTCGCTAATTGCACCACTTTCTGACAAACAAGGTCATGATCACATCACGTGACATGCTATCGTCTGATCACAACAGTTTTTTTATCAACAGAGTAGCCAAACGCATTTTTGGACTAACCAAACAGTTTGTCAACAATTCATGAAATTTTCCATCAAATCTAACAAGCAGCATAACAAAATCATCATAAGAGACCTTGCTTATTTCATGACAAAAGAATCAAGATATGGTGTCTGTAGATTCAATTAGGTCATCGATAAAGAACAGCCAGATTTTGTGTTTTGCATAACGAATTCTAAATCGGTCGAAAATCTCTTGGAGCGGTTTTTTTCCAGCCATGCCGTCTACTTTCTAATGTAATAAAGAACAATACTGACCTCTCCTAGCGGTAAAATAATATTCTTGATACCAGACATCTAAATTATGCTGTAGGTTAGTGAGTGTCATGAGATACGCGAGAAATTCTCTTAAGCAGCCTATAAGTCAACTGTAAGAACGGCTACAGATTAAAGTGATCCTTTTGTTAATCCTCCGTAGATATTTAAGGTAGGTTCTTATTTTTACAACAATAAACAGACATCCTTATCACTCCACATAGCTCAGATCCCTACAAACGGAACGGTTATGTTATTTGTGAGATTGAATTAGACCACACTCAAGTGTCAATACTACCCAACATGACGGATTATATCCGACTTAAAGTCCGGGTAAGTAAGAACAAGTAATCTGCCTAACATATCCAGTACACTAAACCCACCATACTCAGCGGTTCCTGGAATCTTCCCTTCTAAATTACCAACCAGCAGTTTAGTTTACATACAATCTGGTTTACATACAGCTAACCAGATCTCAGTAATTCGTCTTTCAAACGTATATTTCCCAAGCACGCTCTCTCAAACTACATGTCAACAGCTACCATAATATCTTCTACTACACGAGCTTTATTTCAGAGTGTAGAGAGAGAGAAAAGAGGAGAGAGAGAGAGAGAGAGAGAGAGAGAGAGAGAGAGAGAGAGAGAGAGAGAGAGAGAGAGAGAGAGAGAGAGAGAGAGAGAGAGAGAGAGAGAGAGAGAGAGAGAGAGAGAAAGAGAAGAATACATCATGATAAGTTGTGCGTGTGACAGGACTATAACAACTAACAAGGATTATAAGGGCGGGATGTGTTCACATGCAACCTTCATATTATCACTTGTCACTGATATCTATATATTGTACAGATATATATAAGAGCGGTGGTCCAGTCTTTATTAATAACATAGTTGTTCATTACTTATTATCATTATATTTCAGATGGTATTATGGTTTTATTGAGCTAAAATATTACGTGGAGTTAGAAGCAACTATCAACAACCCTGAACGGTAAAGTTTAGTTCTTTAGGGTATGTATAACAATGTCGCCTTCTTTTCAGCAAATAATTTCTCCTTGTATCATAGTACAGAACTGAATAATATTGTGTTGATATGTAGCGCCCAGTGCATTTATTTCATGTAAGGTCACTGTGTCCTGTAACCCATGTTTAATTGGTTACATAAACCATGGCCTAATCTGTCTCCAAGTTTCCGTTTATTCTCAAGTCATGTTTAGTGTGCTGAATATGTTAAACAAAATGGTGGTTAGATTTAAGAAAATGGTTTGTTAGATTTTTTAACAAACTCCTTCATCACTCACCCAAGACATGTTTTCTCTGGGCATACTCAAACGGGCGGGCCACTAAATCCACATATACCACATTTTAAAGCCATAAAACAGATCTATTTTAAGGTCTAGACATAGAATTTAGCACAGTAATCACATATGTAATGGGAGCTAACACACGCAATATACCCACTCACACTACATTCGTCTGTGGGAGATAGGTCACGTGATGTTTACACAGAGCAACTCCCGCTGTCTCTACCTCAAACACACGTAAACCACACACATGTGCTATGTAAACAGTGTGGTGAGCTTCAAGGGTAAAAACACTTGCTGTAGACATGGCGTGTGAGAGAGAAATATTTCACATCTGTCACGTTTTACATATATGCCACATTTCACATCAGTAACATGCAGCATATTGGGTAAATAAAAATGCAAAAACTCAGGGCACGAACATGACGTTACACTCTAGTTCTTAAAGTTCACTTTTTGTATCTTTTTGGCCACTCATTACATATTACTGTACTGGCACACTGACTACTGACAAGAAGAAGACTCGTCTTCGTGAATGATCTAGTTAAGTAAGCGGGTGGTGCCAGTCTCAGGGCTCAGTAGCTATATCTCTTGCTTATTATTACGTGTGTCACGTGATAAAGCCAGTGTGTCACGTGACAGACTGGCTCCCTCTATCCTAGGACAGTATTCAACACCTCTTTATTGACCTCTTTATAACACCTCTTTGTAAAAAAGGATAATGATCAGAGGATGATGTTTTGTCTTGTTTGGCTGTCACCAGGGTAAAAACAGATCAATTAGTCGCCCGGGGATGCTAAACGTAGGTTTAGATCAGGGTTGGTTTAGAGTCTGGTTACGCTGAGAAGAGAGTAAAGAGAGAAATTAGCCTTTTATATGAGCTAAATAGAATTTGCGGAGAAGGGATGATAAGAAGAGAAAGTTCGGTTTACTTAAGAAAGGGAATTAGTTCAAGGTACGGTTTAAAGAAAGTCTAAGAGACTAAACTAAACGACTGTTGAAGGTTCCTCCTCAAAGTTCCATTGTTCAGCATCACAATGTTTTACGCACTTCATCCTACTTACATACTGAAAATGATTGTCTTGAGTAGGCTGCTGAGGGAGACAATTAGCTGAACTCATTTCATTGCCAGTAGGAGATAACTTTTAGCTTTGAGACTTGACCTTGTCCAATTCAGGTAATTCTAGCAAATAAGGGGTAATATTTTTCCGCTTAATTTGCAATTTACAAGAAATTAGACAACATAAGATACCCCAAATACTTGTAATAATATGTTGTCCCCTGTACAATACCCGTACAATTACACCACAACTCCAACCAGGATAAGTCCCCAGTAGTGTACATGTGATGGATCCAATTTCGAACATGTTAGCTAGCGCTACCTGAGTGTGAGCTGAACTATGGGAAACAGTATCTTAGGAGGGGCAATCAGCACGACATGATATATATATATTTCGATAGTACAGTCATCAGCCACCTGTATCCAGATCAGTAGATATCACACGTGTGCTTTCTCACAGGGCACGTGACAACACACGTGACATCATGTCACGTGAGCTCCTAAAACACTGTGTAAGGAGTAGTGTAGTAGTGAGTGTAGCAGGTGGTGGTAGAAGGGACAGTTCCCAGTTTCACCGCTCTCTCTCTCTCTGACTGCTGGAGAAGGCTAATCTAATATGCCTGACACTCCACCACAAGGAAGACAATGTCACCACTAACCCTACTCTGGCTCACAGATCACGTGGTGTTTGCTGAAAAGTCACGTGATCCTCGTCCTGTATAAAAGTGGTGCGCCCAATGTCGGGTGTTCTCCGAGTACACAGGGTAAGTGTAACTGTGACGGTGTCTGGGTAATGTCACGGTGCGACCAAGAGTAATGACTGGTCAGAAAACCAGCTCGCCCACGTGCAGTTGCAGGTCACGTGTTACCAGTTAAGAAGTCACGTGACAGAGGATTGATCTGTGGATTGCCTGTCTACTCCCCTGTTAACTCCTGTATACTGTAGGTTAAACTCTAATTAGATCACATTTAGATCTGTTAATGTGAGTAACGCTTCTTGTCAGATAAAACTTGGAGATTTTCATCCGGTGCGATCGTGTCATGATTATTTTTATGAACCAGCAAATAGCTAGGCTAGCTAGAGCCTAGAAGCCGGGGGTTGGATCTCGATCACGTTTTGAAAATGGGCCGGATCATGAGAGTAAAATAAGGGCACGAAACACTTGACACAGTTAACCTAGAGGTACACTAATTAGTCACAATAAACACTTGATAATACACCTCAACTGCAGTAGACCTAGCCTCGTAAACACATGGTTAAAACATGATTTAGAGGGTTTAGAGAGCACTCCAGGACCGAATCTCTGGCACCGCACTACACGGGTACATCGTACGGGGAGAGCGGGGTGGGGAGGCGGCTACTACTACAGGTGGGGAGGGAGTACCGAGGTAATAATAAGTGTCTCAGTATTTCCGTTATTATCGTGTGATGTAATGATATGACGTAGAGGCTGCCTGCATGTTAGTTTCCTCTCAGAACCACTTATAATTAGAGGGTAAAATAAGAGGAAGGTTCTGTGTTTGAGGAAAAGAGGGGGACTGGAAACCACGACTGGAAACCACGACTCGTGGTTTCCAGTCGTGGTTCACGAGATAGGGTTAGGTTATCTCGTGGTCCACGAGATAGGGTTAGGTGGTGTACTTAAAGTAAACTAGGTCAGTTCTGTAAAAATCACAAGGTCCGCAGCACGTAACAATGATAAA